ATACAAAATTGCCAAATTTGATTTAAATATGTCCTTAAACAAGCAAACTACGACAGTTTATTAATTCTCCGTAAGAATAACATGTGAATTTTAAATTTAAAGTTTTTTTAATTACCTCCGTAACCGTTAGGCAGACAACAACGCTTCATATACAAAATTATTTATTTTTGTAAGCTCTACAAATTGGTCTGGAAAGAAATTGTAAAATTTTATGATTTTAGAGTCAAAAATGGGGAAAACCCAATTTTTACCCCGTAATCCCCATTCCCATAGTCCGATCATGCTGGTTAGCAAACTCGTTTGAATAAACGTAGGTTTACACGTTTGTACCAATATCATCAAAATCAGATCATTTTTGCTCGAGTTAGCGCGCTAACGGACATAAATATATATATACATATATATATACAAATTTGAACGGAGGGTGTTTTTGGCCTCTGAGGAGCTCAAAATGAAAAAGTAAATCGGTCCCGGGTCTAGGTCTTACCATGAGACTATTAAAGTTATAAAGCATGCCAATAAATGGCTGAGCCACATTATAAGTTATTTAATAAATTCATCTTTTGTATCAGAATTTTTCCATATCAATTAAAAAATCTAAAATAATACCAATTTATAAGAAAGACGACCTAGAAACTGTGTCAAATTACCGTCCTATTTCTCTCCTACAAGTAATATCAACAATTTATGAAAAAATTGTTAACTGTCAGTTATTAAATTATTTAGAAGAATTTAAACTATTAAATAATACTCAGCATGGATTCAGGCCTGGAAAACATAATTACAGCAGCAGTGGCATTCATAGAATCTATAATTTGGTCTGAAATTAAATGAATTTAAAACTAATATTCTTCAATTTAAACTCAGAAACAGAGTTACAGACACCACAATCAGTATAAGGTAGTAAGTAATAATTTTTTTAAGATATAATAATAAGTTAATAATAAGTTTTTAGGTATAAATTTAGACTCAAAATTAAGTTGGTCCGACCACATTCATCATCTAAATAAAAAATTAAGATCAACAAGGTAATCACTAAGTGTACTATCCAAGGTCACGCCGCTAGAAGTCTGCTTGACAGTATATCATGCGTATGTTCATTCTTTGTTGGCTTATGGCGTCACTCTATGGGGTTCTACAGAGGCCAAAAAAGTGTTCACTTGCCAAAAGTCAATTCTCAGAACTATTTTTCACCAGAAGTCTAAAAAAAGCTGTAAACCTTTTTTCAAAAAACATTCCATTTTAACATTACCATCTCTTTATATATTTGAAATAGCAAAGTATGTTCATGCAAATCCTTTCTTTTATGAAAAATATAAAATAAATCATAACTATCAAACGAGAAATAATAACAAAACTTTTCAATATCCCAAACATTCGCACACAAAATTTGAAACTGGGCCTCTTTACATGGGATTAAAAATCTACAATCATTTACCTAATTCATACAGAACTTTATCAAAATCAAATTTTACATATAAGCTGAAAGAGACTTTCAGCCAGAAAGCGCATTACAAAATTCAGACGTTTTTTACAGATAAATTTTAATAGTTTTTACTCTTGTTAGGGTATAATTAGATTAAGGAACCTAGATATTAATTAGATATAAATTGACCATGTACCAGCTTGGGAATTACTTTTGTAATTATTGTATCAGGCATCAAGTACAATAAAGCTTTGTCTATTGTCTATAATTGAATCGGTTGATAAAGGGGAGTTCACAATTGGAATTTTCATGGACCAAACTAAGGCATTTGATAGTGTCAATCATTCCCAATTGATGGATAAATGATTACCTCCCGCTATCTCCGCGTCCCGCCATCTCTGTGTCCCCCCACCTCCGAATTTCAGAGTGACCCTTAAAATCCTCGGTTACTACCTGAGTTAAGACTTTCCGCGAGGGTGTTAGCCCCGCCACCCTTAAACCCCACCCACCACCACCCCTTCTTAGCCACTACCTGATACCATTATCATACACCACTTCATTCATAAGTTAATTAGTAGATTTCCCATCCTTATGGAACAGCTGAAGCCAATTTAATGTAGTTCTGTCCCGTGCATTGTAGACGTTGTGTTTAATTTGTTTCTTGTTATTTCAGTCATTTAAAACCCCATTTAACCGTTTAACAATAACTCATCCTCTAGTTATATAACAGTAAAGCACAAACCATGAAATCAACTCTAAAATAATAGAAACACAATTTCGTCAACACTAGCCACCAGTGTCGCCGGACATGAACAAAATACACGAGAAACGAGCTTCAAAATTTACAATGAGATGGGAACTATACTTGTATTGGTTAGTCTATGGTTAAATATTTAAGAAGTGTATAGTCAATTCGTTAACCCAATATTGGTATTTTTATAAGTATAAAAGAGGTGTCGGCTTGTTTATATATTTGTTTGGCAGTGATAATCTCAGACACCAGATATACATGTAGAATTTTTATAACAATAATTTTCATTACTAAAAGACTTTTAAGGTTTGTAAACACAACTCTGTAGCAACATAATATTCAAGCTTATTACTAAATGCTCAATGCACATTCATTTATAATTTTGGTTTGATTACAATTATTTAACTATGGTATAATATACCAGAAAAGTTTGATCACTATATTTTCGTGTATGGAGTAGGTTTATACACGAAAGATTTTGTGATACCTTAGCTTAGCCCTGGGACCGTTTTAAAGGTACCCATGTCACAGATTTTTAAAGAATTTTTTATTTGAAATATGCATTAAAAATTACTGTAATATTTTTTATCTTTAAAACTCAATTCAAAATCAACATTGAATATTTTGTTTAAGAATTGATAGTAAAATATCCAGTTTGTATAATTTCTCTGTTTTAAAAATACTTGTATGATAAAATATTCGATAGAACTATGAGGTTATTTGATTTAGTCTATGATTTTGTCATTGATTATAGGAAACAAGTAAGATGAGTAGACCACACAGAGATAAGTAAGACCATTGCTGTATATACAAATCGAATGCTCTGCTCCTGGGAACTGTTTCAGTGGTTTCAAATTATCGGATTTAAAATGCATAGCTAGCTGTTCTCAATTAAACACAATTTTAACTGACTACTCGATTCCCGTACGTAGGACGGGCCAACAGCTTGTAGGCTTATGTATTAAAACGTGACAGGGTTTTTTTAATTTCACGATTCTGAATCAACCATTTAACGGATTTTCACAATTTTTGTGTTGAAGGAAAGATAATTTTGAGAACTAGGTAATGTCGAAGTCATAACTTCAGTTTAGGGTATAAGTTTTTTAGAAATTAAGTTTTAAATTAAAAAAAGTCTAGCAGCCGAGCTACCATTCTAGACTAAAGCTTTTGCTATAATACAATTTGCTTAACGTAACAGTTGTAAACATTCAGCGTTTGTGACACAAATTCAGCATTTCGATAAAAATAAAATTACATACACGTTGGGTTGATTTATTTATACTATGGAGGGGAGGTAATTAGGTGGCGGGGCTTCGCAGCCGGATGCAATGACAGCTACCAACGCAGACAGTGACAGGGGATTATAAGGGAGACTCAAGAATTCGGAGGTGGCGGGACAGATTTGGGTTCGGAGGTGGCGGGAAAACGCAGAGATAGCGGGAGCACACGGGATAAATAACTCATTTTAGGGGATACAAAAAAAAAATATATATATATATAGAATGGTGTCAGTCATACCTAAATAATCGTTGTCAGTTTGTAGAGTTCACACATAATCATGATAACAGAATTACATTTTCTTCTGAAACTGAAAGTGTTAAATGTGGTGTACCCCAGGGGTTAATGCTTGACCCCCTGTTGTTTTTATGTTATATTAATTATGCTGGTGGTGCACTCTCTATATTCACTCTCTAGAATGTCTTATTTTTGTAACCATAGAACATTAAAAAACATATATTATGCTAATTTCCATTCACATTTCTCCTATGGTTTGTGCCTTTATGTTTCAACTACAATAGCAGATTTGGATAGCATACCTAAACTTCAAAAAATAGCAATCAGAATCATTTTGAAATTAGAACACAACAAAACAACCAAAAACAAATTCAAAGAACTGAAAATATAACAGTACAGTAGAGTCCCGCAAACTCGGCGTAATGAGGACTGGAAGGGTGCCGAGTTTGTGAAATGCCAAGTTATCGGGAACTAGGGTTAAAAATAAGAATAATAAAATTTTTAAGCCTTTTAGCTGCCTTTGTTATTTATATTTATATTACAAGTCTGGATTAAGTCATCAGATATTGTACAATAAATCCTTGTTACGAGTTGTGAATGATTTTACTTGAGCTGGCTAGAGTACATGTTGAACTCGGACTCAAAAAATCACTATTTTTCTGAGCCAGGTGATGGCCGAGTTATCCAGACTACCGGGTTATCGAGTGCCGAGTTTGCGGGACTCTACTGTATATGGCCAATATATTTATGACACAATTATTCTAGCAAAACACCGCTTGAGTACCTCTGAAACAAATTACTGCATCACCCATACAGCACTCGGCATAAAAAATTCCTTGTTTCAAGTAAACATAAATTAAAATTCTATGAAAAAAACCATCCTATAAAAATTATTTAAGCATCTTCCTAGTGAATTCAGTAAGATACAAAGCAGGAAAAATTTCATGAGAAAACTTAAACTTTATTTAGTGGAGAAAGCATTTTATTCCCTGGAAGAGTATTTTTCCACCTCCCCTCTTAGCGTTAGTTGATAATAGATTTAGTTTTGATTATTTTCTGTTAATGGCTCTTGGTTTTTAATGTTAATAATGGTCTAAGATGTGCAAAATTTGTAAATTATTTTAAGATAGATTTAGTTGACTCCATTCAATGTACAAAACTGTACTTAATGAATAAAGCATATTTGATTTTATATACTTTTAATTAGAATATCTGGAAAATTACCGTAATATGAAATGAGTTTAGTAAAAATAATACTAATACACAAGTCCTGTAAATTGTGATTTTGGGAGGAATAAGATAACAGAGTTAGTTTTAAAATATAATCATGTACACAATACATAATAATATTTAATCAGTTCCAATTAAAAAACTACAAAATATACATTTCATTTAATTGCCAGCTAATGTCAAAAGTTCTAATAAACCATTTTAAACAAATATTGATGTATAATTTTTATACTCTGGCTACTCATCCCTGGTTTTAAGGAGTATACAGACAAATATTCAGGTGTTCGTTTAAATGATATAGCTCAATCAAAACCACAGGCATACTTTTGCTTTTGCCACAATCATACTGATAGTCATGCAATTCATAGTGTAAATTAATACTGAACTAACTCTAAATAACACATAGTTTCAAACTTATCGATAGAGGAGACTGTAAGAGTAGGTATTTCTTGTAAAGGACAATGTACATGGGATAACTAAAGGCTGTCTCAGCCTAAGTTGAGGCAGAATACCTGACCAAGGGTGGAACAGGACAATGGCTAGGCTGGACCCTTCCGACCCTCGTCACTGAATACTCCACTTATAAGTTGAAATATAATGAATAATTGAAAATATAATAAATTCTGTATATATGAAAATAATGCATTTTAGGTTATCACAGAACAGACATTTTCAAAGCAGTCGCTTGTTTTTGGGCGGGCCTACGAAAACTGTTTTCCACAGCAGCACAAACTCTACCGAATGTTAGTTGTCTGGCGTCCGATCTGACTTTGACAGCCTGCCAAATTACTTTTCAACTCAAAAGCCGTTATTCTGAAGTTAGTAGCCCACCGCATGTCTCCATGTCGCCTTAATCGAAAGAGTGCAAGAAACTGCCACTGAGTTGCAATGAATGAATTCAATCCTTTTTAAAAACAACTCCATAACAACTACACGTGGCTCAGGCGACCACTGCTCTATGACTACGAAAATGGCATTGTGTAGGCTTTCCAACAAACCTACTCCCACCACTCTCACTATTTTAACGTTCGTTTTGAAAATGACTACTAGGTAGTTAACAGAAGTTCGACTGAGGAATTGTGAATGTGAAGGTATGTAACCTGTTATAATTAAATGATCACTTTAAATATGTTATTTTTGGAATATACAGAATTTATTATATTTTCAATTATTCAATATTTTTTACTTTTAAGTGGAGTATTCAGTGAGGCGTGGTTAATGGGATTTACTCCAAGGGTCGAGAGGGTCAGCCTAGGCATTGTCCTGTTCGACCCTCTTTTCCCAGGTAGTCTGCCTCAACTTAGGTTGAGATAGGGTTTAGAGGGGGGATAGGTACCTCAATGGATGAGATGGACGAGAAAGAGGAGGAAATCACAACTGGGAACACACACATATTCAGCCCTTACATACATCAGAAAGACTAACTTAATTGGAATTAAACTATATCGGGTACATTTTGGTATGTGCTGGAGGCCAGTGCATTGATTTTCTTAGTTGGTAAATACAATATTTTTGTCTTCTTGTATCTATGTTACCTGAGGAATGCTCCCATTAAAAAAAATCAAATTGTTTAAACAGATATCTACATACAAATGCACTATACTTGGGAACAACGTTAAATGTGATGGAGATAAACTAATATTTTTCTGCCTGCAAAGGCCATCCATATAAAGGGTGTTTTTTTAAACGCAATCAAATAATTACAACTACCATGATATACTTCTAAACAACAAAACATCTCATATGATGGTATTCCTGTTTACTTAACTTAATTCAAACGGACAACTGAGTCAAAAATGGCAGCCGTGCAAAGATTTCTTGAACCTTTGAACGGCTACCATTTTTTACTGAGTCGTTCTTTTGAACTCAAATTTGCGGCAATGTATTCAAATAAAGAAATTTAATTTTATGTACATATTGATCTATGCATATGTTTATTATTTTCTTGCGACTTCTAGCGTATAATAGCAACTCTAGCTTTGCGCTTTGAGGTGGTAGCATATAATAGCACTGCAAATTCAATGCATCTTTGAATAGCTGTAATTATCTATTCGATTGCCCATTTGAGTTCGGGTTTGATATAAACCTATGCTTACATTTAAGATTTTCTTTTGACTATTAGCGGGTCATTCGCCTGAGGAGGTACCACATCACTGAATAATGTGTTAAAATTATTTTAATGCCCAGTAACTGTGAACCAAGTTTTGAACCTGCATCTTTATTACTTTTTGAAATATTTAACCGTCCAGGGACTTTTTCCATTCTGTATAACTATGCAATCATGCATATAAGCTAATTATATGTAGAATAAAGGGTTACCAAAATTTGAGCTCTTTTGTCGTTGTCAGTGTATTATGGTATCTACTTGTAATATGATTTGTGTTTAAAAAACACCCAGTAATTTGTATTACTAATGTGTCATAACTTAAATAGTATATGGCACATTACTCTAATATTGCTCTAATATATTTAATATTGCACACCACTCTCTCTCATTACAAGCACAATTATTTAATTATAAAGCCTTAAAACCAGGGGTTTCTCTACTCTTTCTACTTATTGAGCTACATATTTTATTTTGTAGATCCATAGACATAGAAGCTAACGTTGTACTGAGTGAGAAATTCACAAATCTTTGAACATTGGAAGCTCTCATTTACATATACTTTATGATCTACAAAAACACCAATAAAATTAACATGTGAAACAAATTTATAAAAACAATAACACCTTCAAATCAGTTTAAAATGATCAGTCTTCAATAAAGTATACTCGGAAAAGACACACTACTTCTGGTCAAAGTATCCGTAGGAGAATTCTTATATATATAATATATATTGAGCAGCAAAAATGCATCTGACAAACAATAGGTAGAGAAATTAACTATTGAGTAAAATCTAAATCCTGGGAAATTTGTTGTCTAGAAAAGAGAAATTTGCTTTTGACAACTTAGAGTTTAGCTTTAAGAGTCAGAAAAATTGTAAAATTTCAAAAATTGTAAACAAATATATAGCATTTGCAAGATAATGGTCTGCTACCTGGAAAATCTTAGGATCCTAGGAATTCAGATATAAATGTTACAAAAATATAGGATTCTTAAAATAAACATACATATAAAACAATAATTACATTAAAATACAACATAAGATTGTTACAAATACAACACCATATTGAGGAAAGAGTATAGGTATATAAAATAGCCATCTTTGCTCAATCATCTGATATGAATTTGTTGAAACAAAGCAATTGATTTTTCCTACAGTTACCTAACAATGTACATGTTCTCTCACTGATTTGATAAAGCAAAGTGGCCAATTCGCTCATCAGTGAGACAATGTTAACATTGTCTCACTGTAATTACTTTGTTTCACTCCAGATTTGCAACGTGAAGGCACGAAATAGTGACATGAAATAGTAACATGCAGACAAGGTCGTATGCGCGCAAAATACGTTGGCAGCACTGGCTGTAAATCAGCTGGTCCGCTGTTGTACTGTTGTATCATTAAATGTCATATTAAAAGTTCACTTCTGTGCAAAAATATGTTACGTTTCTTTACCAATTTATTTGTTTTATGGTAATGGTAGGAAAAATATAATGTGCAACTCGAGTGCAAAGTGCAATTGCCTCACTCGAGAAACCATTCCTCACTCGCCTACGGCTCGTGAGTAAGTATTTCTCTCGAGTGAGTCAATTGCTCACTTTGCTCACTAGTTGCACAAATAACTATATTCTTTTGATTAATGAATGAGCAAATATGAATATATTTTAAGACATCACAGACCGTACTCTTTGTATATGTTGGCTGCAATAACAAGTCTTTGGATTTCTGATGTGCCTTCATAAATTTCGGTTATCCTTGCGTCTCGATAATGCCTTTCAGCTGGCATGTCGGAGACGTACCCCATCCCTCCAAGGATCTAGAATAGAAAATTTCTGGATACAGTGAATAGCCTACTTAACTTATCTAGTAAAATTGCCACGTTGAGATCATAACACTAAATACCCTTATCTTTCAGATATATCAAATAGGTATATGAGAACTGTTTAGAAAGTTAACTTACGTTTTGGTCTCGGACCACAGTAAGGATCCAGCTGCGGTAACCTATCTGTATATACACGGGTAAACGTAATTAGCTGAATCCGGAACTCGCTAATCTGCTCTAGAGCAGGGGGAACTGAACTGGCTAACAGTCCCTCTGCGGAACTCGCTAATTACCAATGAGAAGCCTCGCACACCATCCAATGGGAGCCACCACGAAGGATATTGACCAATGTTGCCAAAAGTGTTGTACCTATTTTTCGTATTGGTACTTAAAAGTTGCAGCTTACGAATTGTTAGCAGTAAGAGCAATATAGCACATTTCAAATGTATATTTAGATCTACGCTTACTATTATTGTTATGTTTATTATTAGGTTGTTAAATTAATTGCATACAATATAATAAATACTATATATAATAGTTCATTTGAATCTTTTACATTTTAAGAAATATTTTTTTTTGAAGGCCGTAACTTAAGTTGGTTCTTTTACTCAAATATATAATATTTTTAACTGCAGCATATAAATATTATTAAGCTCTTATTTTGTTTGTAAAGAAATAATTGTCTTACTGTGAGTAATCTTGAAGCCGACAATAGGCCTACTATTTCTGTTGATCTACTCAGAATATTCATGATTTTAAACTCACTGGGGAAATACATACCAATAATATCATTTAAAAATTGTCGAGAGTATGTTTTTTGTTAAGAAAACTAAAAATTTGTGTTTCCAAACCAACACTTTTAATTATTTACCGAAGTTTATTTCACTCACACTTGCTGAATGGCAATATACTATGGGGTAATAGTTTGGGAGCTCACAGCTAGTTTGGGGTCTTTACATGGCAAAAGAAGGCTCTCAGAATTATGTTTGAAATTCCAGATAGGATTAGTTGAAAAACACGTTTTGCTGAAAATAGAATCAAGACACACTCTGATATTTTAATTTATTACAATTTAGTTTCCAGGGGCGAACTTACCTAGGGGCGGACGGGGCGAGGGCGAGGCCCAGGGGCCCCCAAGGTACCTGCTAGGTATATTAAATCTATATATAAAGCCCAAGTACCCAAGAACTTTTGAGAAAACTACCAGTCACACCCCCACAAACCATATACTTAAAATGTTCGTCATGACGAGAAACCTTGCGCAAAACTATCCTTTTATTTTATAACTCTACTTTAAACTATTATTTTATAAATTGCCCTTTAAGGTCGTAATTCCTTTTCAAAGGGAACTTTCCATATACCTAATGTTAAAAATACCTCAGCTGTACTTATTTGTTTGTATTACTGTATTCTGTTTTGTTTATTTCAGCTTAACTTAACCAATCGATAATTTTATTAATACTTATGAAGTCAAACGGGATGAAGCCCGTGGGTAACAGCTAGTTTTAGCGAATTTCCCATATAGGGAATAAGCTATTACCGTAGTACTCATGGTAAGACCTGGACGCGGGACCGATTTTTTTTTTGTTTTGAGGTCCCTAGAGGCCAAAAACACCATCCGTTCAAATTCATATATATATATATATATATTTATATATTTATATATATATATATATGTGTCCGTTAGCACTATAACTCGAGCAAAAATGATCCGATTTTGATGAAATTAGGTACAAACGTGTAAACCTACGTTTATTCGAACGAGTTCGCGATCCAGCATGATCGGACCATGGGAACGGGGGTTTACGGGGGGTTTTATGGGGTAAAAATAGGTTTTTCCTATTTTTTACCCAAAAAACATAAAACTTAGCAATTTCTCTTCAAACCATTTTGTAGAGCTTAAAAAAACAAATAATTTAGTATATTGAAGCGTTATTATGCGCCTAATGGTTATGGAGAAAATTAAAAAAAATTGTAAATTTAAAATTCCAATGTTATTCTTATGGAGAATAAGTAAACTGTTGTAGTTTGCTTGTTTATTAACATATTTTGATCAAATTTGGAAAATATTTTTATTTCTTACTAACTATTAACATTTTACAAAAAAAGAACAGTTTTACCCTCCCTGATGCAGCAAACCTAAGTACTTGTTAAACTAATTCTATTTAAATAGGGAATAAATGTTATATTTTTAAGTAGGCATTTCAGTGTAAATGGAAATTCGCTTAGACTGCAGGTTTGCTGCGGCGGGGGTATTTATAAATACAATTACAACAAGAACAAATCATAACACCTTACATTGTAGCTATTTTCAGACTTAAAATATTACACAAAATTAGTTTATGCAAAATACATCACACTATTCTAACAGGTTTACATATTAATTCACCTCTGTTGGCATTTTTAATTGCCGAAGTACTTCAGGATTATAGTTCAGTAAACAATTTAAGTAGGTTAGGTATTTCATGGGTACAAGATTTACCGATGGTATCTTTTTCGATTCACGGAAATCTTTAGTGTAACAATGTGTTACACCATTCCATGTTAAGTTAAACTATACTACGGATGCAAATTTTTTTACATACAGGGTGTTTCAGTAAAGCGTAGCAGGCTATGCAGATTCTCATTCTACATGCAAAAATAACTTGAAAACGTATGAACACTTTTTTCGATTTCGGCTTAGTTTGGCCGCAATCCGCCATTTTTTTTTTTTTTATTTACAACTCAAAATCCTTTGGAGATATTTTTATGAAACTTAATATAAACTTTAAGTTTATAGCTATAAACATTCTCTGAAAAGTGAAAATATCTTTGATCAAGCTCACCGAATTTCAAAATGGCGGCCATTTACACTTTAAACTATAACTTTAAAGATTTTAAATTGCCGCCATTTTGAAATTCAATGAGCCTGATCAAAGATATTTTCCGAGAATTTTTATGGCTGTAGACTTAAAGTTTATACCAAGTTTCATAAAAATATCTCCGAGGGCTTTTGAGTTATAAAAAATTCAAAATGGCGGACAAAATCGAGTCAGTGGGTTCTGGAGTTAGCCAATTTTGGAGCGGGACAGTTAGCCAGTTCCGCCACCCGACCGAGTTAGCGAGTTCCAGAGCTAGCCAATTCCAACATATAGTATACTTAAAGGCTCTTAGCCTGGAAGTTACGAGTCTTGGACTATGTTACTAAAGGGACAAATAGTATCAAAATTGAGCACCATTCCCATAAACACTTGAGGATTAGATTTCTTTCCTACAGTTAAACTCTGCTAACCCAGCACATTTAATATTCCAGCATAGGTTTAAGATGTGAGTTTAAGTGACTTAAAAGCTGGGGTGTGTTCATAAGTTTGTGTTTGAATAATTTGTATTGTAATTTGAATTTGAATTTGTGTGCAATCGGATGAGGTCGGGCGTATTGATAAATCACAATGGAACACAGAAAAATAGCTCAGTATCTATAATTTTATTTTTGTCCACCTTCACGCTCTAGGACGCTAGGTTCTACTTGGCTTTGATTTATACATTACTTAAGACTAGGTGAAGAGGATTTTGACATGATCTCTTAGATAAAATCCATTGGTGATTGGCAGAATTTAAACCTAGGATCTCAGGCACCAAAGTTCCATGCTCTTTACTAGACTAACACACTCTCCTTAATACCTATAGTAGTCAATTTGTTTGTTGTAGTTAGTTGTTTGTAGCAATTTGATTAACGAGGGTTTACAATACAAGTTTGCATCATTGAAATGAAAATTAATTCGAGTTTATTCAATTCAAAATATAGTCACAAGTTTTTTTAAAAACTATATTAATTAAAATCAAAATGTAATCCATATGCAACTTCTTTGGATAAGATAGTGAAAGACAACAGCTTTAAGCCGACTCATGAATCATATACAGACAGGGCTTAACTCTTAAACCATTTGAGATATTTGAAATTGGTTCGCAACAACCTTCTTAGACAAGAGGGCTACAATAATGATTTTTAATTTTAATATTTTGCCCATAGGGGAAGTGGGGGTAGGGGTTACATATCCAAATGGATGGGGAGTCAAGTTTGAAATACAGTACTTGTTCTTGATGAAACTAAACAATTGAAAAAAGACAAATAAAAATCAGTCCATTAATAACAAAATGGTGCCCAAAATGATTCACCCTAAAATTGAGATTACTGATAACAGCAATTATGGGGACTTGAGGATTTTCCAGGGATTGTTACTAACCAGATGTCATTAGCAATGATATGAACTAAAAAAATGTTTCATTGATAAAAATTAAAAGATACATAAATAGGATAATTATAATTTTTTTATGACCACAATGCTTTTACGAATACTTTTAATAGCTTTTAAGCTGGATTTTTAAAAGTAAATTTACATTGCCATTTTATTTTAGTGGATTTTTATTTCCTTTATGCCAATCGTTTTGTTTCACTAAGACCTGTGAAATGATACCAAACTCGACTATACTGTACTTCCCTTTATCAATTTTGAGCTAACTCCTACCCCCACTACCCTAAGGGCAAAATTTCCAAAAACCACCATCTTTATTATAGTCCCTAATATCTAAGAAGGTTTCAAAAATGGTTAAAAAGTTAAGGTGGGTGTAAGTTACTTTTCGGCCACCCTGTATAATTATTATTGTTGACTGTAATATAATAAGAAGAATATAGAACCTGAATGGCTTGGTGTGAAACAAAAGTGGCAGCTTCAGAAGCAGCTAGTTTGGCCATGGCTGCCTCCTGAAACAGAAAAGTTAAGTTCAACAAACAGTTATATTTTCTGAAAAATCCAGGTTCTTTACTACCACGGTAAATATTGACAGGGTCCTCTTACTTTCAGAGTTTGTGTGCAAGAGGTAAAATAAAGTTGATGTCGATGCAGAAAAATTATTAAAATTACTCAACGATTAGAAACATACTTTTAGAGAATTTGGTTGTTAAGTTTGTTCATACATATTCCTACTGAACTGAGCTGTCTTGGCAGAATAAGTGCAAAATGAAATAGCAACAACAATAGTGATAATAGTTTCCAAATACAGAGCGCTCTCGATCAACTGAGGTTGTTGGAACAGAGACTACCTCGGTTACTGAGAATCTCGAATAACACGGAGGTGGCAAAGATTTTGAAGTTAGGGGTTACTGTATCAAATTAGGAAGTCAGATACTTGTAAAATATATGTTTAACAATACATAGAGTGAAAAATATCAATCTAAATTCATGAAAATTTTTTTTTAATAAGGTTGTGTTATTGTGTGGCCATACATTTTGAGAGCTGAAATGAATGTTTGGGATTGTAATACACGCAATATTTTTGTATTACCATACCATAATACACTTATATAATAACACATAGATTAACTTTTTAGATCTATATAAAATGTCATTTAGGTTATGTTTGCTTTTTTTAAGGTTATGTTATTTGCTTATCAATTGTTAAATAACGTACCGGATCCACGGCTGTGGTTGGTGTAGAAACACCAACTGTGAAATCAGATGATTAGCAAGCGGGAATGATTCATTCCTGTTCTAGAGCGGCAATGAGCTATTTTGCATACTATTTACAGGTATAGCAATGTGATCATTTCCATGCATTGGTAGGAAAACGTATTTGAAATACCACAATAATGTGGATCTTCTCAGTCTAAAAAGCGTAAAATTAAATTTTATTTGAGTTTGACCTGAGCTATAGCTTGACACAATCATACATCAAAACATCGAAATGACAAAGACTGACACTGCTATTGTTTACGTTTTGCAGGCATACTGTTCAGTTTGTCATAAATGTAACAACGGCACGGCCCCAGCGGCGGCGGCAGCGTTACGGTATGGCGGTTGTACCGTAACGGTTGGCGGGGTTAGGGGGGGGGGGGGGTTGGGGGGTTATGTGTTGTAAGTACATGTACTGTGTGATTTACATTTTCTAGGTTATTGCGGATCGTTCTTATTTAAAAAATTTGTTAAAGTCAGTGCTCGATTTGTAGAAAATAAGGTGCTGGAACTGTTACCTATTTAATGTGATTTGTAAATATTTATGTACCTATTTATGCCTACATTTTGATCTTTCCGAAAGAGAGGTACCGCAAATCTCGCGTTCCCTCGCAAATCGAGCACTGGTTTAGGTTATATAAAAGTATTCATTTAACAAACCACAAATTGCTCGCTATTTAACTTTTCTTTGACCAGAAAGAAAGACATACTATAATAAATTAATTATGGTGTTTCCACTTAATATTTAAAAATAAATGTATATTTAGGCCTCTAACGACCTTGGATAACCCTGGGCTTGTATAACTGGGGCTCACATAATCAGTTAAGTACTGTATTATCAAAATTTAAATTGATTTCCCTTTACCTTAGTGAACGGTTTTTTACAATCCTTGAGGTAAGCTGCTCGCCATGTCAGAAGTCTAGCTGCCTCCAACTGCATTGACATGTTTGCTATCTTGTGCTAGAAATGTAAACTATTAAATATAGTCTCTTAGATTTTATTATACAATGCATAATATAGCAATTACCTTCATAATAATTAGGTACAATACAAAAAAATTAGCATGTTTCACTGCACATTTAACTAGTTTATTAGCCTGGCAAAAAAATACCAGATGAGAGAATAAAGGATGTGAGAAAGGGGAAATCAAGATATGTCCGGTAAAAATATTCATCAAGTTTTGTCCCGGGATTTAAAGACACTACAGTTTTTAACTTGCATATTTGAGTCAGTTTAAATCCAACTCACCTGAATAGCTTGTAGTTTTGTGATAGGTGCACCAAAGGCTTCCCTTTTTGATGCATATTCGACAGCACAATCTAAAGCTGCCTGAGCAATACCCAAGGCTTGAGATGCAATACCAATTCTTCCGGAATCTGTTAAAAACATTAAAACTTATTATTGTTCAAATATTTTGTAAACAGCAATATTTTATAGACCAGAAGAAGTACATTAAATAAATTTAGTATATGAGCTTCGAACTATGGTTTGACAAGTTTAGGCTTCTATATTTAGATTCTTAATGTTATAGATTAAGAGCCTAAACACTTAAATACATACAAATAAACAAATAAATAAATACATCAGGGGTGTAGAAAACCGCATAAAAAATATGGGAGGCTCAACTATGTTTCCCCCATATAGGCTAGTAAAATAGTATATTTCTTACCTAGGGCCGAAAATGAGGTTTTGCCGGCTCGAGATACTTACCACTTCGGTCCGTGGTACGAACGCTATTTTTCACCACACTATACCCTATTATTCACCACAATAATAATGCACACTGATAGTCAACACAACTACAACTTTAAGGTTATGTGAAGAAATAATTTGATGAATCAGCAAAAATAATAATAAATAGTTGTCAGGTAGCAGTGACAGTAATTCTATTGCAATGCAATGCGAATTCGAGCAATTGCTAAGTATTACAGGCGTTATTTTAAAACGAATAACAGTCATAATTTCTGATGACTTTAAAAGATTGAACTATTAGTAAGGTTAGGGTAATATTAGGTTAGGTTAGGTTAGTTTTTTACCAATTTAGACATGCTAAAATAGTCTAAATGTCTAAAAACTTATTGTAAAAACTTGTTACTAGTATCATGCCAAAAAGTATCGTACGCAACGTATCAGGAAAGTAAACACCCTACTTCCCAGCCTTGTAAAGTAATATACAGTACTATTTCATTATATATCCGTTTTGTATGTTGATGGTGTCACATCATGCGCTTATACAGTGATTAATTTTAAATTTCATTAAAGCTTAACTGATATTTCCTTGTGAAAAGTCAACTGTTTTGTTTTGCACAAAATATTACCTAAGGTCATCATTGCAATTTTGAAACCCATGCCAGGTTCTCCCAAAAGGTTTTCTTTGGGGACAGAAGAATCTTCGAAGATTAAACTGCAAGTTGATGAAGCTCGAATTCCCATCTTGTCTTCTTTCTTGCCAAGGGAAAGACCTGGAAACCCAAATTAAGTAAAAAAGAGGCTGCCGTAAAACTAGCTCGATATTAAATTGCTTAGCCTAAGACAAGGTTAGTTTTTTTAGATTAAGTGCTGAACAATACTGTATGCAACTTCCTGAAGTAATACAAATCTCCTATATTTTCTTATTTTTTATTTGGCAAAAATGGCGAAGTTCAAATGAATCCCAACAACTCATCAAATAAAATACCGCCGCCGCAGCAAACCTGCCAACTAAGCGAATTTCCATTTGTCTGAATTGATTTTCAATTAAATCTATTTAAATTTGAGTTTTGCGTTGTAAATATTAAAATTGTAAATAGTATTGTAGAAAAAAATTAATAAATGAAAAAAACAAAATGGTGGCATAAATTTGGTTTAAAGGCGGAATAAACTTGAATGAGTTCGCAAACTCAAAACACAAAATTTCACAATTTCTCTCTAGACCTTTTTAAAGAGCTTAAAAAAACAAATAATTTAGTATATCAAAGTGTTTTTGTAAGGTTATTGGTAACGGAGAAAATTAACTAAACTGTAAATTTAAAACTCCGATGTTATTCTTATGGAGAATATTTTAAAATGAGTAGTTTGCTTGTTTATGGATATATTTTGATCAAACTTGGTAAATTTGTTTATTAAGCTATACATTTTACAAAAAAAAAAACACACTTTATTAGTTTCCCTGTAGCAGCAAAGTCTAACCTAATGTTATTTAAATAGATTTCGAGGCGGGGGTATTTTTTGTTTTCATTTTTACGATATAAGCATTTTTATTCATTCATTCATTCATTCATTCATTCATCCATCCATCCATCCATCCATCCATCCATCCATCCATCCATCCATCTATTTATTTATTTATTTATTTATTTATCTAACTTCCACATTGTTGGATAGTATCATTAATTAATAACACAGTGAAAAACAGCATCTAGGTCCAGAAGCCTTGCTTGGAACCCAACCAGCAGATTTATGCAATCTAATTGTCTACATTAAACTAGCCAATATGTTATTTTTTAAATATTTATAAAATCAAAATAGCTTTTCTTCACCAATTTAAATTTCATTGATAATTTCGCTATCTCCTTTTAGTTAATGATGGGTTTACATATTTTAGGATTCACATTGACCTTTTATATCACTCTTTAGCTTACAGCAAAGAGCTGAGTCAATAACTTTTAAGTGAGTTCAATGAAGCTCGTTGTCAGCGACAGCTTGACCACGCTTCATTGTGGATTTCACAGAAAGTTTGAAACAACGTAGTAATGATGGTTTGGATTGGTTTTATAAAGCTATGCATTCTTTTTACTTGATAAACCAAGAATTGAGTCAAACGGAAAAGTAATATCGACCTTTTGCTTGTTCTAATGTAGACACCGGTAAAAAACTATTACATGAATCTATACATTTTGTGAAATCACATTGATTTTTATAGTTTGATACATTTACCAGGCAGTAAGAAAGATAACTTTTTATATAAGGAAAAATAAAAACTAAGTTTATTCCAGTTTATTCCAGCAACACTTTCACTTGACTTGATTAAGAATACTTAAAGATTATGAAATTCAGAATGACATGGAAAAGATAAATTTATATAATCTGTCTAAAAATATTATACTCAATGTTAAAACTGCTGTCATGGCTCGCTTCAATGCTTTTGAAAAATATTATTGCAGAAATACATCCTTATAGAGAATAACAATTGTCATTAGCATATTTGTTGTTTTTTAAGATGTATGGATTCAAGTAGGGTTATGGAGTGTAAAATGGCTGTGAAACCTTTTTCTTTGTGAGAAGTCTGAGGTACTCACCAAAAACACAATTCCTACTGAAATTATCATTTTCACGGCCATTTTTACACTTTCCCCTCAATCATTGCATTAGAATCATGCACTTCAGTCATCTGGTAATGAATGTCAACATGCGGTATGTTTCTCGTAATAAAAAAAGTATCATTGACCTTATCTCTGTTGCGGCGGGAGATTCAATATTTTTTTTTTTTTAACATACAGCTAAGTGTATACGTCAGCTACAGAGCTGCAAATGGTGTCATTCTGTTCACAAATAATGTCAGTAAGCAGCAAGGAGTCTTGTTGTGGCATAATCGCGATGTACCTATACGCAAAACTGGTCCTTTCTTAAAATACTATTCTTGTACTGTATATATAAAAAATAAAGGGAAAACCATAAACAAACTATATTCTGTTGAGTGATGTCTTGGTACCAGTTCTCTGACCAAAATCGGATTTTGGTACTGGTACTATCAGTACACTACCTATTAGTAGTAATTTTTTAAGTTGAATATTTTAATATTGTTGGACTTGTATTTATAGTGATCAACTTACCCGGGCTAGGTTTAGGTACTATGAAGGCGCTGATTCCTTTGTGTTTTTTACTCTTGTCGGTGGTTGCAAATACGACTGTAGCCTCAGACTCATAGCCATTAGTGATCCAAGCCTTGGTGCCATTTATAATATAGTTGTCTCCCTTAGCAACAGCAGTGGTGGATGCTGCTCCAGCATCACTTCCATTACCTGAAAAAGAATACATTTAGTTTTGTTCGAGGAAAGACTCTATGTCAGGACTTTGAATTGTAGAATATGGAGGATAGTAACTAGCTTAAGAAGTGTAGGTAGGCCATAGAAGATACAGCACATAGTTAAGCTAGCTGCTGCCCTCCTTTTCTACACTTAGGAATTCACAATTAGTTAGAATAAACTTTTATATTTAATTTGTAATTTGTACGCTATTTAATCATACATTCAAATGCTGAATTTCTGAGTAAATATTCTTTAAAATTTTGATTCAGGGGCTTCTTTCAAAATATAGCGGGTGTTTCCAAATTGTCTGGACATATTTTGAGGACTTGTTGCTTGGGCTAAGACAAATATAAAATGCCATATATGTATAGGTCTAAAATGCCTAGATTTCTGTATGTTGGTCTGTTTGTGATTTCTAAAAACTATTTTATATCTTGGGCATTTTTCTAGATAGAATTTCCAAATTTGGTATACATGTGTAGTTTAGAACGTAAAAAGAGCTTAAGAAATTTTGTTCCAATATCTCTAGCTATTTCAATATGGCGGCCATTTAAAATCTTTAATGCCAAATTTTATGAAAACGGTAAATATTAGGAACATTTTTTTACAATCAAATAGATAGAGAATCTAAATCCAAATCAAATGAGGCCTTGTTTGTTAAAGTTGGATGACAAAAAGTTATCAGTTTTTTTCTACATTCGGTTAATGCAATTTAATAGGACCTAACTTATAAAAAAAGAGCAGTATGGTAGTCTTTTTAAATTGTGTAGATTCTCTATCTTATTGATTGTAAAACAATGTTCCTAATATTTATGGTTTTCATGAAATTTGGCATTAAAGATTTTAAATGGCCGCCATATTGAAATAGTTTGAGATATTGGAACAAAATTTCTTAAGCTCTTTTTACCTTCAAAACTAGACATTTATACCAAATTTGAAAATTCTATCTAGAAAAATAGTAGGCCTTAATATTAAAAACAATTTTCTTAATATTTACGGTTTTCATGCAGTTTGGCATTAGAGGTTTTAAGATTGAACATGTTAAACAATAGATAAGCCTAGTTAAAAGTTTTTCAGCCTAATGGAGATATAATAAGTCAATAGTTCGCCACACACAGAAAGTTTTCAATTGCAGGGAGTTTTGAAGGCTAGGGCCTTTCTGGGGGTTCAGGAAAATTTAGAAAAATATACGCTATAAAGGCGCTATATATCATATAGTAAATATATTTTTTTTATTTTGGGAATTTAATATTAAAAAATTTTAACCCTGAGAGGATTTCATTTCATTTTATTTTAAAATAGAAAAGTAAAACACTACAGAACAATAGGTATGGTTAACAAAAGTTGTGATTAAATAATTGGGAAGTTTGTTACTATTGTAATAGGGAAATAATCAAGGATAACATAATGTAACAAGACTAAGAAAAGCATAGACATTAGAAGGACAAAAGTAATTCATAGTGTTATCAACTATGATTTAACTTTAAATAATTACTACAGTTCATTTACAAAAATTGTACAACCAATCAGAATAAATTACTGACAAGCAAGAAGTCTGGTTTGAAGAATATTGTTTGTTGATAGCGGTTACGGAAGTCCATCTTTAGATTTCACCTTGGCCGTAGAATTTAGAAAGGGGTTATCTTCTGTTGATATTTCTCAACAAGTATGCTTTACTTGAAAATGTTATATAATAAACCAAAATTGTTTTAATGCTTCTAGTCATAAAGCATAATATTAAGTTCTGAAAAAGATTTTTTTAGAGATATTTTTGACAGTAAAACAACATATTACTACCACAAAAAAGTAGTAGGAAAAGAAAATTTTGTAATTGTATATAAAGTTGTCAAGGCTACTTGAAATTTAAAACAAGTTAAAAATTTCATTCCGGCTTGGTAAGATTTTGTTGCACCACATTTTTTAATAGGCTATCACAATTTGAATGTTATATTGATCTTAACAAATCTGTAGGATTTAAATACCAAATCAAATTAGTAGTCTTGTTATAACTACTCATGGAAATTGGACAAATGTTTTTATGTGATTTAAATAAGCTCATACATGATCCAACAATGCGAAAGGCAGATTATAAATCTGTGTAATTTGTGGGTAAAATACTTAGCAAATGGAACTTGTTTGGTTATGAAAACCTTGATTGATGGCTACTAAAAAATTATTTGGGAGAGGGAAAGGGGGAAAAATTAATAATGTTTATACACAAGACGTCACTAGTGATGACAGAACACCAAAACAGAAGGATTGAAGGCTTGTCCTTTGCATTTTAACAATATACACAGGTGTGATTCCCATGAAAAACAAAATTATCGTTAAAAAAAATATTTTAATTTTTAGAGTTTTGATTTTCAACAATCACCAATCTAATCTCAAAGCCGAAACTATTCTAAATTTCTAGTGGTTTTGAGATTCGAGTTTTGCTTTTGAAACATCACTAAAAGGCTTTTTAGCTTAAAAATTACTTAGCTTTAGAGTAATGTCTTACCTGGCTCACTAAGAGCAAAACATCCAATCTTGGAGCCACTGGTGAAGGGTGTTATGAACTGTTCCTTTTGCTTCTGGTTGCCAAACTTGAGGATGGGCCCAAGATAAAGAGAGTTGTTTACACTCATTATCACTCCAGCTGAAGCACAACCCCTAAGACCAAGGTCATGACTCATTATAATTCAAGCTTGATTGAGATTACAGACCTGCAAGACCATGTTAAAGTTTTGACATTTATTAGAATTGCTTTTTCTTACAATTTTTAGCCTTGAAAATGGAAATGCCCGACTTCCATTTAAGTCATTGTGTAAAATTTAAAATAACAAACTCTTTTGAATACTGAAGGACATTGTTGTAGAGATTATGGAGCGAAATCCAAAAAAACTGTACGGTAAAAAGACATTTGAAATTCCCAGTTTAGTCTTATGGAATAAAAGGAAAACTGAAATTATTCACTTAGTCTGAAGGTTTGTTGCGGCAAGGGTAATAGTGCTCGTCTAGCAGTCATAAGTTTGCCAGTTCGATCCTGAGAAATGTGTGTAGCTTTTTTTGGTTCGATACTGGACCCAGCTGTCTTTGATCATTAGGCCTTTGATAAATTCCTTACTAATGAGACAGCTGATCTTAATAAGTAACAAAGCTACACCGATCATCTTACTCAATTTTACACTCATCCTTCACTCATATTTGGGTTAAAATTTGCACCTAGGTGGCATCCCTATCTCAAAATTGATAATAATAAATAAATACAAAATGCTTCTTATTGCATATAGATATACATGTATTTGTATTTCTACCAGTATAGGCCTATTAGAAATCCAGAGGGTCATTCAACGAACATGGTAGCATTGAAGATCTCTTCATCCTGAGCCACTGTAGTAGTGAACTCAAAATAAAATTTCACAAGATTCATAGTACATTGTGAACAATAATGAAATCTCATTTCATTACAACAACTAGCCTACCTGGAAATTTCTTCAGTCGCAATAGCATAGGCCAAATAATCGAGACCCGTTCCTCCAAATTCTTCTGGAACTTCTACGGCCATGAGACCCAGCTCTCCCATTTTTTGAATCTAGGTAGTAACGAGCAGACAAAGAAATAATTGTTGCAGTTATTTAACATAGTGTAATAAACAGAGCAGTTTTTAAAAAATAAAATAAATATGTACCTGCATTAATTTTTTTACTAGGCATAGCTTGAAACAGTTTTACCCTAAGGTTATATTCACAAAACTTGATTTAAATACATAACCTCATTTGAGGAAACTGTTTGAACGAATAAAAAGTACATATGCTATTGAAAAAAGTTCAGAAGATTATAATGGTTTTTAATTTTTTTATTTACATTTCAGTGCAACTTTAAATCAAGATAAGCAATCTACAGCCTAAGATAGACAGAATTTGTAATCACAATGCTACGACAATATGAGCACATGGTTTAATGAACAATCAAAATGCAATATAGATTAAATAAAAATAAATAACAACAAAGAAACTATCCAAACATGTCCCATTTACTTTCAATAGTTGGGTGGTTAGGACAAAAAGAGGAAGAACAGCATTATACAAGCAAGACATTGTTCAGGAGAGCTAAATATGAAGTATTTTTATCTTTGAATCTCCATGAAACATGCTTATGGGATGACCGTGCACCCTTAGCCCTGGTATTTTGGGGCAGAAATATACTTGTGAAGAGCAAAGAAGAGCCTGAATGGCAAGGGCTGTTTGGAAATTCTATCCCACAGGGCACAGGGTCTTCCTCCACCATGAGCATTGTGAGGACGAGGGGAGCTGTGCGGGACATTTCCTTAGACACCAGCACTAGTGCTAGACACCACTTATATGAACCATGGAATGTATTCTATGTTCCTTAAGTTACTTCTCTGTGGTTTTAGGTACCGGTACCTGAACAGGAACCTATTTCCATAAGCAGTTCCACACAAAAAGTGGTAAGCAATACACGGCATCAGTGATAGTTAGAAATTATTTTTTACAAAAATTGTATAAAATATTCAATTGGAAAGAAGTCCCAGAATGTTATACACTGTGTTCCCCCTCATATTTAGCCCTGTTTAGCCTATCTGAAAATAATAACAAACAAATACATTAAGCTCACCTGCTCTTTGGGATATAAATGTTCTTTGTCAAACTTAGCAGCATATGGTTTCAGTTCTGCCTCGGCAAAATCACGGACTGTTTTGTACAGCATCTGATGAGTTTCAGGGAGAGAAGCGAGGGATGCAATGTTTCGCACACCAATTTGGCTGAGGGAACCACCTTTTCTGGCTGCAAATACATACATTGGAAGCTTAACCACACTCATTAGAAAATATAGTTCAATATTAGGAGGATTATTCACATCTAACCTCAGAGCGTGATTCACACAAGTTGGTGGTGTAATTTTCCTTTACATCATCATAGGGATGGGAACCGTCAAGAATAGTAGTTGGGGAAGTAAAGAACACAAAGTTAGTGTCAAATTTGAACTAGCTTACTTGGCTATAACTGGCGTGCTTGTTCTTACAACACCTTAATTTAAAGAATACCCTCGTAAATGCATAACTTAGTAAATAATATGTTACGGTGCTCTTGATCCTGAGTTGAATTAGTGAATCAGATATTTGAAACTTCAATAAAGATTACTTCTAAAATGCTGGAAAATTACAATTTTGTCAAATAGGCTAAATCAAATAACATCTTAAAAATTAAAATCCACATAGCCTAGATTAAATTTGCATTACAAGACTGTAGGCCTACAAAAAAGTATTTAAGTTAGGTAGGTAGCCTAACAACAATTAGGCTCAAGGACATATAGCCTAACCAAGAATAACTTAAATACTAATTTGGCCTGGATTAGGAAAACAAATACAGTGCTTAAGTTTTTCTTGGTTAGAAAAGGTCCACACATCCGACAAAACTTTTTTTATGGAATTCCACAGCAGGATCTCAGACTTGAGAGTTCAATATAGTAATTAGGCCTATATAGTAAAGTAGGCATACATTACACTGCCTACATACGAGGGAAGTTACCGTTAACTTACTGTTTCATAGAGAGTTGAGGTACAGTTTCTTAACTGGGCTATGCTACTATTGATTGAAACTATCAATTCAATTAGTAAACCTTCATGTGATTTTTTCACCATCAGCAAGTTTGGTTGGTTAGGTTAGGTTATGATAGTTTTATTTTATAATAGATAATATTTAAAAATATTTTCAATTCGATAGTTTCTATCAATATAAGCATAGCCCAGTTAAGAAACTCTATCCGAGAGTTGAATTATGGTTATCAACATTCAACTGCGGTTAAGAACTTAAGACTTAAGTTAGGCCTAATTCAAAATAGAGGCCTACTCCTGAAATTGTCATAACAAACAAAGGGACCAAAACACAAACGTTTGTCATAACAAACAATCGCAGCTTGTTATAATCCACAATGCCAATAATTAAACTTACCTTGTTAGCCTAGGTACACTAACTTGGGATGTCCGATATTTGTTTATGCTCCCTCTTAAAACCTTTAGTTGGTAGTGTGAAAAGTGATTGATCCATAATAAAAACAGAAAAACGCATAAAGGTTTAGTATGACTTAAACACTTGGGTTGTATGACCAATAAAAAATACACAGTATCAAAATGGTTTCAGTTTTGATATCCCACACAAATTGGTAGGCCTACTTAAAGCCCAAATGGAAAAAGATGCTTTAAAATGTAAATCTACCATGACAGTATTAATATAACATGAAATCAGTGAATAACTCCCTATTAGGTAACGTAGGTTAAGCTTTTTCAGTAGTCTACATTACAGTTGAAGTCCTGCATAAAATAAAGACTAAGTTAGGTCTATATTATAAAGTTTTAAATTAAATATTATACTTACCAAAAGCACCTATTACGTTCAAAGCCATTTTTTCAAAGTTTGGAAAATTACAAAATCTTACATAAACTAAACAAAATAAATAAATAAATAAAGATAATTCAACACAATTGACGAAAATGACACTGACACTAGACTACCTATTTCATTTCTAATGGCAGTAGCAGCCGCTAGCAGCAGCAGTTGATCAGAAAGATCACTAAACAGCTGATTAAAAAACACTATGATACCAGTACTACCACTACAACATTCTAAAACAAAGGTGTATAAAGTTACGGTAGTATATATAAAGAAGTTTCATTGATCAATAAATTTAAGTAAACGAAGAGGATGAGATAGATACTAAAAAAATATTGCAAATTAAGAAGGGGTGGCCGAAGGGGCCTTGCTAACTAAAATTATATATACATATATATTTTTTTCCTTGGCTCTATAATTATTAAATAAATATTTAATGATAGCACATGATAGTGCAATGAAATTAATGTAAACATTAAATATATCGATATTAATCGTACTCTGAGATATCCTGAATCAGTTACATACGAGCCAAATAGGTAAAAATTACTAGAACCTAGATACGAATGCACTGGAAACAAAAGAAATTTTATCAGGCTAATGTCACAGAACAACATCACTTGAAACCAAAATATTACCGTTGTAGACAACCCGCAGCCTAAACGAATTTGTACATTTGTACATCAGCCATATCGCCAAATCTGGTAGATATACATATCTGAGGATGGCATTTTGATGCCGAAACGGCCGTAATATACGGAAACTTCAGAGCTGTGACGAGGTAATTGTATTATTATATTATAGTCAAAAAGTAAACCCCATCACTTGGTCTCATCACTTAAAAGTGAGTTGTTCTGTTAATTTGGTGCTGTATAATTGTTTAGCCAAACAGTAATACATTGAGTAAGCAAAATTTTAAACTATTTAAAAATGTACAGTGTGTGGGAGTTTGACGCAAACATCATGTTTATTGTTCAATTTTAGCGAATTTCCCATATAGGGAATAAGCTATTACCGTAGTACTCATGGTAAGACCTGGACCCGGGACCGATTTTTTTTTCGTTTTGAGGTCCCTAGAGGCCAAAAACACCATCCGTTCAAATTCATATATATATATATATATTTATATATATATATATATTGATATATGTGTCCGTTAGCGCGATAACTTGAGCAAAAACGATCCGATTTTGATGAAATTTGGTACAAACGTGTAGACCTACGTTTATTCGAACGAGTTCGCAAACCAGCATGATCGGACCATGGGAACGGGGGTTTATGGGGGGTTTTATGGGGTAAAAATGGGGTTTTCCCACTTTTGACTCAAAAACATAAAATTTTGCAATTTCTTTCCAAACTATTTTGTAGAGCTTAAAAAAACAAATAATTTAGTATATTGAAGCGTTATAATGCACCTAATGGTTACGGAGAAAATTTAAAAAAATTGTAAATTTAAAATTCCCATGTTATTCTTATGGAGAATAAGTAAACTGTTGTAGTTTGCTTGTTTATTAACATTTTTTGCCTAAATTTGGAAAATGTTTTTATTTCTTACTAACTATTAACATTTTTCATAAAAAACACTTTTACCCTCCCTGTTGCAGCAAACCTAACTATGTGTTAAACTGATTCTATTTAAATAGGGAATAAATGTGATATTTTTAAGGAGACATTTTAGTGTAAATCCAATCAGGCAAATGGAAATTCGCTTAGTCTGCAGGTTTGCTGCGGCGGGGGTATTATTTTATGCTATGTCTACTACAACATAAAAATCAAATTCAATTCTAAAACTCCAATCTCATAAAATATTAGCTTTTGTTCTTATTCCAGTTTTTTTTTCAAACTTTTAGTATTTCGTTACATTGATGAGTAGCCCACATTTTATAACTACTGAACTCACTAGCCATGTAATTCTCCAGCCAGTTAACCTTTGATTCGATAAAGATGTTAATTTATTTAGTTTTACATGTAGCTACTGGATTGCCCAGCAAATTACTTGTCTAAATAGTAGTTTTTCGTATTTATTCATTATTATATGACAATGAACCGGCTAGACGACAAAGTAACTTGTCAGGTCCTAGCTATGACAGCACAATATGTTTGTTGCTGTTGTGCGCGTCTGTGAGCCGTCTGCGCACGCGCACAATATGCGTGTCGCGCGTGCTGTTTGGCTTCTACAAGGTCGCGTTAACTCATATGACCATTGACCCTAATTTGTAATGTACATGAAGAAGACTCCCAAACCTGCGAAGACCGCTACTGCACGACAACATGGTCCTCTCACTATTTATTTACACTTGTAGGTGACTCTTGTCCGAGACCTCGGGACCACCAAGTTTACGTTTTTATGTTGGATTTAAAATAATTTAACATCGACACAGTAACTTGTTGGGCTCAGCGCCCCATGGTGGTCAAACACTCAAAGAGGTTTTTAGAGTATGACACAAGTTTTAGTTTATATAAAATGTTTGTAAGTATATTTCTGTAATTAAGGGAATTGGGGCTATTTTGTCATGTTGGGTTATCTATGCTTTTTATTTTTTGTGCGTTATCTTGTAAGGCAACGGTTCAAACTCTAGTCTTGTTTCTATCTAACATTTCCCTTTTATTTGATACCATCATTGATGATAGCCAAGTAGTGTCATATAGGTCCAGAATGTATCTCGCTTGGAATCGAACCAGCGACCTTCAGATATAAGGCGAGCACTATAACTACTTGGCTGCCCAGATAGTTTAGTTCATAGCTTAAACAATTTGGAACCAATACTACTTTATGAACACTACTTTAGGTTGGGCTAAAGGGACATTATACTATAAATAAATCTGTAATTTAGTATTAGTTTCTTATTGCCGACATGTATATAAAAGTTAACGTAAATTGAAGAGTAGCCTAAGTCACTATTTTAAAGGTAAAGGTCGTAGTATCTATACAAATGTATGTAGGTTCATTGATGTAAAGAGTTAAACAACAGAAAAGAAACCCCAATAATTTTTATAGATGGAATTAATTGCTTTACCAGTAGGTATGCATAATCTAATCATACGAAACATGTGTTGATAATTTAACAGCTTATTGTTATATTGTTATTTAATTGATTTTTCTTTGATTAAATGTTGTTGTTAAAAAAATTGCATTTGTGTTTAAAGTGTGTTCCTTATGTTAAGTGTGTGATTCTAATGCTATATTGTATGCTTAAACTGTACCAATAATATTAGTGAGTAAAGTGGTGTATGAATTGCATAACCATTATTTTACTAGAGACCGTTGTATTTAATAACAACGTGCTCTGTTGCTAGTATACTATAAATCAAATTTTAAACACATTTTCTCAAGTTAAGGACATAATAGTAATGGCTTAACAAGTTTAAAGTTACACCTACAAATAGATCACAATTAATTAATAACATTAATTAGTAATATGAAGAGTTAAAAATAGCACTTATAAATGTGTAGAACTATGTTCAATCGTTAGACCAATAAGTTATTTAATAATTGTTGTAGTAAATAAATAATGATTATGGTACACAATACCTTCGTATTTTACATTGCGAACGCCTATTGATAGCGTCAGTGCGTATTACAGTATCTCAATGAAAATTCTTTGTCCAGAATTTTTTATGTGGAGAGAACATTTGTGACTTTAACGTTTGTGAGCTGTTTGAAGTTGGCAAACCTAAGCATTAACAATTTTTCCTAGGTGAAATGGATCGAAATTTTAAATAGGTTGAATTGCAACCCAAAAATTCTATATTGGAAGTAATAATTACGATTTTCTAACGAATTCAACTTAAGAAACGTTTAAACTAGGAATTTTACATTGGGAATTCTTCTTCAATTTTGTATGAAAATAAATTTATCGTCACCTTTGTAACAAAAATGTAACAAGTTTTTATCTTTCTGAAATTGTAGAAAAAATTAAATAAGTCAAGTCAGAATAATGGTTTCATGCATGCCAAAAACACACTCCTGTTGTTAGTAAATTAACGAAGTGTTTAACCAATTTTTTATAACTAAAAATGTATTTTGTTCATCGTTTAAATATAGCTTGTGTACTTGTTTATGCAATATTTTGATTTAAATGGCAGTGTAATTTATAATTGGTATAATAATTGATTGCAGTGTTTATTTTAACTGCATGCTTTCAAACCAAATCTCAATGAATCCATTTAAATATGGTTAAATATTTGGACCTTTTCACTACCACTTCCGTTAATTCACTACCACTAATTAGTATATTAAGTTAGGTTAGGGCTGTGTTTACGGACCTTTTCCGTTAACATTGTCTTAACCTAACCCAATATAATAATTAGTGGTAGTGAATTTGCGGAAAGGTCCAAATATTGTTGTTTGAATACCTTATTATATCATTGTTAAAGATAAAACTCATTTAATGCGTTATTTATTGTTGTTTTTATTAACAGTGGATAATTGTTTCAACATCTTTATTTTTGTTCAAATTAGTTAATTTTAGGCTTAGGTATATAGACAGTCGTCTTTGTAATGTAGAATATAAGTGGAAACAACAGTGAGGCAGACCTTAGCCAAAAACAAGGAAGACGAAAAGTTGTAATAAGGACCGATCGGAGACAAAATACATTGTTATCTAACAACCAGTTTCTACGTGTGCTGCAGACAAGCCTATAATTTCTGGCTTTTGCAGAAAGTAATACACTTTTGTAAAATGAGATTTTTCTGAATAAAAAATACAAGTAGCTTTTAATTGACCTGTAACCAGGTTTCCCAACTCCAAAGCCCTTGGAAGCATAAATCAACGGTAGTATTCTGGTACAATATTGCTGAGAAGTAGAGGACCGAACAACACAAGCACTGGCTGGACACAAAATATAAATTTATTTATCAAAATATAACAATATATAAAAATATAAAATCAGTTACTTTAAGTCGCAGAACCCTAACCTAGCTAGAAGAAAACCCAAATACAATTTAAAAATAAAAAATGTATTTTTAGGCCTAAGTAATTATTGAGTCGGTTTGTTGAGGTTCAACATACAATTGCTGAATTTTAAATTCACATTGATTGTTCGGAGATTCCAAATTTTCATTGCCAGTATTATTTTGATCTGTGCAGTTGATAGTCACGTTCAAGTGAGCTGCGTTATTTATCATCATTACACCAGAA